CTGAAGATATCACCTAGTCGGGCAATGAGAGCTTCGCAAATTAACTATTCAGCTCAGAGAACACAACCACATCAAAATATTGACCGTCAACAGCAAATCTCCACTTTGTCTTATTCCTTTGAGGTCCTCTTCAACTGGCCCTAATATTGAATATAGTCACTCATCCTCTTCTCATACGACTACCTCTCTGTCATCCTCGGATCAGCGCCCAAGCCGTCACTCGAGATCTGGGATCCAACTGAGTCATGGTCTGGTGTGTAATTTCATCTAACGGTCTTACTATAGTGTGTCCTATGCATCGCCATTTTCTCCAAAATATTTATTACTAGGCACCAGGTTCTTGATTGGTTCTTTCTGAAAGTTTCTCGTTGCTGGTCATCTGATATTCAGTATGCAGCCAATAAAGGCAGTTGCTGATATAGAAATCTGCAGCTGGATGTTTGGAAATGCTTTTCATGACGCATCAAGTTTCTGACCTGTATAGAAGAACGGACTGACTTCTCATCGGTTCGGAAACTCCGAATTTTGTCGCTCATGACGAGTGCGGAAGGTTTTGTAAACAAATTTTAGACTGATGAGGGTCTGCTTTGCTTCTCCTTTTCTTGGTTTGACACCTGGATTAGTGCTGTCACCTATAGTCAGAATGATATTTCCTAGATAAGTGAAGGGAGTGACCTCTTTCGAATTTATTCCGTTGACAATGACTGGTGCTATATGCTGTTGTTGTTGTTATTGCTGGTGGTTGGTTATATTCATCAACTCCGTCTTCTCTATGTTCACTTGAAGTCCTCTATTAGCTGACTGCTTCTTTAACCAGTTTTGTTGATTTTCGCCTGCTTGTAAGTTTTCGAGTTTGTGTGACATTAGATATGAATCATCTGCGAAATTCAGATCTTCTGGAGTCGGTCCAAAATATTCCTTTCTCCACAGATAATCTACTCCACTGAAATTAGGAATATCATCGTTGGGGATAGTAGGTAGCCTTGTGTTTACTCGTGACTTCACTTCGAATGCCTCTCTGAGTTTTCCGTTGTGGATCACCTGACACGTGATATTGTCATACAGATGTTGAATAACATTCTGTTACTTTATTATTATTATTGTTCCCTTGGGTTCCTAGTGGAACATACGGCTTCAACTTCACGTTTCCACTGGCTTCTGTCTTCTGCTATACTTTTCACCTGCATCTATATTAATCCATACTGTTTCAACTCCTCTTCACACGATCTCCTCCATGTCACCCTTGCACGTCCCACTCGTCGCTTCCCTTTCGAGTTCCACTCGAGCACTGGCCTGACGCGCGATGTCACCCAGCGGCCTCCTCAGCGAGTGTGTCCAATTCATCTCCACTTTCTCCTGCATATTTGTTGAGTGATTGGTTCTTGTTTTGTTTGTTCCCATTGTTTCTTGTTGGTGATTCTTTCCGGCTGGCCATCTGATCTTCAGTATAGAGCGACGAAGACAGTTGTTGATAAAGGTCTGTGTTACCTGTTGGAAATATTCTTTGTGACCCGCCAAGTTTCTGATCCGTATAGAAGAACTGACTCACTTGACGTTTGTATTGAAAATCCGAATTTCGTTGTTGATGCTGAGTGAAGTGGCGAAGATTTCCAGATTGGTTTCAGGTTGATGAATGTGTTTCTCGCCTTCCTGATTCTCGATTTGACATCTTCGTCGGTTCCTCGTGTAGTTGAGACAATGCTCCCTAGATGAGTGAATGAAGTAACCTCTTTCAAGCCCCTCACGTTGATGGTGATTGGCGCTGGATGTTGCTGCTGTTGTTGGTTGGTTATTTTCATAACCTCAGTCTTGTCTATGTTCACGTGGAGTCCTGTCTTTTCTGCTTCTTCGACTTCTGTTACTTTCAGTAAATCGACATTTTCTTCTGAAAATAAAACTGCATAAGCGCATGTATCCCAGTAAATCAGACAGATTATCTGGGAGACTGCAAAAGAACAGGTAACAGCGAAACCTGTCGCTGATTGTTTACTTCATTGTGATTATTGTTGTGTTTCTAATCCTTTATAAGCTGGTGGTGACTGAATTATGTTAGAAAAAGCTTTAAATGACTGAATATTAGAATACAAATAGCCAGTCAGTAAGGGCAAATGAAAATTACACCAGTAATTGTATTGGCGTATAAGTATGCGATGTAATAATAGTCCGTTAGTTAACAGTATCAAGTGAATGTATATAAAGTGTGTACGTTCACTGATACCACGAGGTAAACTGTTCATATTTTCAAGCGTCAATTTGCACAGATTTGATTTGTTTCCTGTTTGACCACAGATTCCTATTGGTTTGAGAGCCACTGAAAACTATCTAGGAGTATTGGATTGCTATTTTGCTAGTAACTGGCTAGAGGATGAAGTTTTCCCCGACCGTAGACTAAATGGTGCTCGGGAGGCATAAACACGAGAAAACCAATCAGGTTTTAGGCCAGGAAGATGGTATATTGATCATATCTTCACCCTTCGACAGATTCTAGAACATAGGCATTCCTACTGGCATCCAACAATCATTATATTTCTTAACCTAAAGGCGGCATTCGATTCTGTCGACCGAGAGGTTCTCTGGCGATGCCTGGCTGTAAAGGGAATGCCAAGAAAATACATTACACTGACTAAGGCACTCTACTCGTACTCATGCAGCCAGGTGAAGGCTTATGGCGAGTTGTCATCTGAAGTGGTGACGATTAGTGGCGTCCGTCAAGGATGCTCATTATCCCCATTTCTATTCAACTTCACCATAGATGTACTTATGGACTTAACCTTAACTCACTTCAAAGACTCAGGGATTGACTTACTACAAGGGAATAATCTCGTCGACTTAGAATATGCAGACGATATAGTCCTTCTAGGCAAGGACGCTGACAAAATGCAGAGTCTCCTGAACACCTTGAGAAACAATCTTCGTATGTTTGGCATGCGATTCACCCCCGTAAAATGTAAGATGATGTTGCAGGATTGGACAATGCCGACCCCTAGATTAGAAATAGGAAGTGAAGTGGTAGAGCACGTTGACCGCTTCACTTATTTAGGAAGTGCCATCAGCGAGTGCCAACGGGTTGATCTCCAACGAAATCTCGCCACGAATACAGAGGGCTAGTTTCGCATATGCCAGTTTACGCCGTCTCTGGCGTAGACGTAGACGTAGACTTCTGTTTACTGTCTCTAATATGCATTTCTCCTACTTTCTCTTCTTCCTTTGTGTGCTACATGGAGTGTGGCGGCTTGAACTGCAAAGTTCTCTGTCGAAAACCGACCGACCGACTGACTGGATGAAGTTTTCCAGAATTCTAGTGAGAAGTCACGACCAGTGGGATTGAACAACAGATCAAGAGAGAGGACAAATACTCCCCTATAACATTGGTTGGTAGCTACGCTAAAATCACGAATTAGTAGCACTTAGAATCGATGGGTAGTCCAGTTAGGTCCCAGTTGCTGAATGGTCTACAAGGTTGACTTGTAACCTAGAGGTTTTTGGGTTTGAACACTAACAGCGGATGCGTACTCCCGATGAGTACCAGAAAAGGACTAAACTATCATTAATTGATCAATGGGGAGTAATCAGAGTCGTGTTTTTAGTCGTATTTGTGTTTGAGCTAACTGAATTCCGACAGTCGAGCACTCGATGTGGCCACCAAGTTAGAGATGGTCGCAGTGAATTTCGAAATGGTGCTATGTGATTGGTAGCAATCAGTTGGTTGTGTGCTTGTTGATATTCTTCAGCAAGATGCATCAACGACTTTCAAGCTCTACAGTTTGGCAAAGTACAGTCAAAAACAATCCGTAGCTCAGTTTTGTCACATTTAATTGATAGTGGTCATGTAGTGGAGAAAACGAGAGCTTTCAAAGGAATTCATCGTATTCCACCGAATCTTTCCAATGGACTTCGTATTCGTCTACTGCACACAGCTGAGACAGGCGATGGGCATTCGAACTATTAAACCTAAACTATGCATTCAAAAGAAGTTCGTACAGCCATTATCACTCCCTTGGCCTACTAAGACATAACCAACTAATGACTTCTACACCACCCTTGTTTATATTTTCAACTCCTTTCTTATCATTCCTTAATCTTATCACATCTTCAATAAAAACGTGTTTCATTTAACTCCCTTACAATCTTACATTACTTAATCGGTTCATTTGTGTTTCTTAGCCTTTATCGACTACTTCCACCTGAACACTTGTCCGTTTAATCATGCTGTTTTTCATTATTCGTGTTATCACAGATTGCCTCACTTCTTCATCCTTATTATTGATAAGACCATTAATGTTATTATTATTATCATTACTACTATTATGACTAATTAAATATATATGTTTATATACATTGAATACATGTAATTGTAGAGCCAGAAGAGGAATTTATCGAAAAGGATATTCTTTGCTCAATCATTTTGTGTTTTAAGCAATTGACGCCCTCTCGGAGACTTAAACTGACGTCACTGGTGGGATATCAATTCTTTCAAGATTCTAGATACGCCTAGCTGATGAGTGCTGAAAGACACGAAATCCCCCAGGTTTTCTATGCTCTAATGTGCAGCCAACCTACATATGTGTGCATAAAATGTTTTTCCAAAATGTATTTGCCCTTCATTTACTTGCCAATAAGGGCACTTTGTGCTCTATACTGCCATCGAATACGATTGAAAAATGTTTTATATCTATTTTTTTTCCTTCACGTTCCCCAGTGGAACACAGGGCTTCAAGCTAGTGGCTTGAAGTTTCTGTAGCAGTGTTTATTTTACAGGATGGGTTTGCTAGCTTCATGCCCAACCTTTCCTCTTCACCAGCATTATTTCTGGCTTAGCGAGGTAAATGAGTGCCTTGTCGGCCGGGAATCGAACCCTGGACCATGTGCATGGTCGGCGAGCGTCCTAACCGCTATGCCACGGACGCACGTTTTATATCTAATGGCTTGAATTTTTCAAGTATGTAATTCATAACAACTTTTCACTGTATTAAATTCTTCAAATGTTTTGTCTCATTTAGATGTGAAATACCATCAAATACATATGTCGAGTTTGTTCAAGTGATATGGCCAGCTGGAGTTGGTACACTGTCATCATCATCACCATTGTCGGCATCATCGTTACTGTCACCTTCAACATCCCATTCCTTATCTTCTTCTTCTCCTTCTTCTTCGCCTTTAATGGGTGATCCTAATCCATATACAGGTGTAGATGAATTCCTCAACTCACCAACAAGTTCTTATACACCGCCAACATCATCCTCAGCGTCGTCGGCATCATCCGCATCATCTATAAGAAGTGAAATAAGACCACACAATATGTGGGATGTATTTCATCGAAGTATTATTAGTCAAAAACGTAATATCACTGAAATTGTTGCAAGATTTAGAGAAGATTTGGCTGTGGCAAGTCCACCAACGAAATATAGGTAAGATTTCGCCTGCATTTTTTTTAAAAACTTTTTTGTCTGTTTTTCATTTTGAGAATAATAGTGTCTAACTGTCAGGGACCTGTTGTAACTGATGATATTTCTGATTTGATTCGATTGGATCATGTCTGTCTGTTTTCAACATAGAACTTTCCCACATATGTGCGGCAGTTCAAGTTGCCACACTCCCTCCATGTAGCACACAAAGCAGGAGAAGAAAGTAGAAGAAATGCATATTACAGACAGTAAACAGGGGTGTGAGACAAAGGAATAGTAATAACGAAGAACAATATAGTTTCATTGGAAATCATAAGTCACAAGGAGTGGATGCATCTGCGCTAGCCATTGAGAACGATTTTGAGCCGGCCATATTACCAATTGTTTCCGATCAATGGTTTTTACCGTCCCGAGGACCTCAACCAGGGAATCTACATCTTCCTACGTGGCCGCCTCAAACTAACTGTTGCGGATTTCATTGACTGATGAAGACATGTTTTGGTTTGTCCACCACTGGCTCTCTCCCAGCCTGACCCTATATCACGTAACATTGCCCATTGTCGAGTAAGGCGATGACTAGGCATACGTAGCACATGTCCTAACCATCTCAGTCGATGTAATTTCACAGTCTCGTTTATTGATTTCCCCTCCTTACCTAGCACTCGACTGATGCCTAACCTCAATATTGCTCACCTTATTATACCACTTCACACGCAGACACCTATGATCAAAGACAGCTGGCCAGACTTTTCATGTCTTCCACTCTCAATGGCCAGGTCTCACAGCCGTAAAAGAGGACGGAGCGGACTGCTGAGCCTTACACCCGCCCTTTCGTCGATAACCGGATATCACGTCTACGCCACAGACGGCGTAAACTGGCATATGCGAAACTAGCCCTATATATTCGTACTGAGATTTTGTCATAAATCAACCCGTTGGGGCTGATGGTACTTTCCAAATAAGTGAAGCGGTCAACGTGCTCTACCACTTCACTTCCTATTTCTAATCTAGGAGTTGGTGTGGTCCAATCCTGCAGCATCATCTTACATTTTACAGGGGTGAATCCCATGCCAAACATACGAAGATTGCTGCTCAAGGTGTTCAGGAGACTCTGCATTTTGTCAGCGTCCTCGCCTAGAAGGACTATATCGTCTGCATATTCTAAGTCAACGAGGTTATTCCCTGGTAGCAAGTCAATCCCTGAGACTCTGCAGTGAGTCAGGGTTAAGTCCATTAGTACGTCTATGATGAAATTGAATAGAAATGGGGATAATGGCCAACCTTGACGGATGCCACTAATCGTCATCACTTCAGATGACAACTCTCCGGATCATGAAGTAGGTTGCAGTGGGTTTGGGGGAGAGGGGACAAGAATGTGTGGTGTAGACACGAAGACTCTAGAAGACTTAGATTTCGCGCATGGATGATTTATATCTAATGTCATATAAACTTGAAAACTTACAGGCAAAAACCAACAAACTGGTTGAAGAAGCAGACGGCAATGACAGGACTCCAGCTGAACATAGAGAAGGCAACAGCAACAAGAGGCAATGAACACTGTTAACGGGGTAAATTTGAAGGTAGCCACTTCTTTTCACTTATCTAAAAAGCATCATTTCAGCCACAGACTGTCGGCACTGATGAGGATGTCAAAGGTAGGATCCTCATCACTTTAAAATCAACGTGGAAATCTACTGCACTCAAGATGAAGAGCATGATAAGGTTTTTCAACGCCATTGTCAAGTTATTTCTACTGTACGCTTCAGAGAATTGGCATGGGCACTGACCGAAAGCATTACCAACTGGCTGGAGACTTTTATCAACTGCTGCCTTCGCTGGCTCCATACTGAAGATCAGATGAATAGTCGGAAAGAATTAGCAACAAGGACTCCTGAGAACGAACCATCCAACAACGTTTTGCTCAAAAAATGTGCAGAGGCAAATAGAGATGGATGGAACAAACGCTGACAAGAAAAACCCTTTGAAAGACATCACACGCTAGTTAGGCTATCGGTGGAGTGGCACCCGAATGGGAAGCGATATGGGGGAATATCGTGTGACAGCAAGATGAGAGCTTATGGGCGCTCGTGAAGCCAGCGAGTTAGAGGAGACTACGGAGAACACGACCAAATGGTGATGTCATGTTGAAGTTCTTGTGTTCCACTCAAAACCCAAGGGGAATAATAATAATAACAATTATAATAATGTGTAGTTTACAATTTTACGATGACTTATTATTATTTGATAACTTACCAGCATCCTTTAAAAAGAGAAGATTTTTGTATTTACAGTCAGTAAGCACTGACATTGAACTCAGGAAGTCAAGTTCATAGTTGAATTGACCACTATTCAGATTGCTAGTTACAATGTATTGTTTAATAACAACTTCCTCAGGAAATATCTTGATGTATTAAACGCACTATTAACTTGTAATTAAACTTCTTCCCTCCCCCGCCCCCCGAAGTCTTCTTTATTTGTTATAGTTAAGGGGTGAATATATCTCACTAAAATAATAAGTAAAAGAAGAATTAGTTTTTGCCTGGAACATGAATTATCATTTGATGATATTAGATAGTTGGAGGCGATCGGCCACAGGAAGCTTTGCTCAAACCAGGTTTCGTGCTAGTTGGCACTCACCGGTCAGCAAGGCGTACCTGCAATCTTGAAGGAACTCATGTCCCTGCTACTGAGATTCGAACCCGCGTCACCCAGTGCCACCTGCAGTCAGAGACGTTACCACTGAGCCAGCTATTCAGGCTCGTGATTGACCTCCTGTAGGACTGCAGAAGGTATTTTGATACGACACTAGTAAATAGTGTGGTGTGTCTAGCCCTTTCTTTGGTGTAGAATGAATTCTATCAGTCAGGTTTTGCAATGTGACCACCATTCTAGTTAGCTCGCCATCACGGTGCACATTGATGTGATGAGCCTGAATAGCTCAGTGGTAACGTCTCTGACTGCAGGAGGCACTGGGTGACGCAGGTTCGAATCTCAGAAGCAGGGACATGAGTTCCTTCAAGATGGTTGCAGATACGCCTTGCTGATCGGTGAGTGCCAACTAGCACGAAACAGACCTAGGTCAAGCAAGGCTTCCTGTGGTCGATTGCCTCCAACTATCTAATATCATGAAATCAATGTGAACCGTGATGGCGAGCTACCTAGGATGGTGGCCACATTGCAAAACCCAACTGATATAATTCAGGCTGCACCAAAGAAAGGACTAGACACGTCACACTAGTTACTAGTGTCCAATTAAAATGAATTATCATTGTTTATACAAGTTTATACTGAAATCATATTTCCCTCGTTTTCACTGGTTCTCTAACTGATATCAATCCATGATCAACTCGTAGAAACAAATGGAGGCTTCGGAACTTGTGTTGAAGATGTTGTCTAGAAGAGGGGCAGCAAAACCTTCGCCATTAAATCGAACAGCTCATAGAACACAACTAAATCAAATTAAGATAACTAAACATAAAAATTTATGCAGGTGTCAGTCTACAAACCTTCATTATAGGATCTTTCAATTACACCTAATACCTGTCTGATGAGTATTCAAATGAACGTCCTATTTTTGCTGCAACAAAAGGTCATTATCTTTTGGAAATGCGCACTATTTCACATTTAGAGACTTCACTTCACTACATTAAAATCAATATGAAATCAGATGACTGATAGTTTTAGCCCGAGTTGTGATGGGCAGTTAAATTGATTCACAGAAATGACGTCAAGTGATTTCCACTGTAATGCCAGAAGATAAGAGAATTGCTAACCGACTTCTTTTTGTTTTTTATTAAGTAGCAACACATTTTATATTTATACATTTCTAGCCCCATTAAAATTCGACTAGGTCAGAGGAGAATAAATTATTCTGATTGGTTGGTGATCGGCCATATAGTTAAGCAAGTTAACCAATGAGATTAATTCATGTCCACAATGTAATCTAACTAACTCTGCAGCCAGTTATTGATTTAAAATGATGACTTCAATTTTTGTCCGCTTCTATTATCAATCTATATCTATATGCTACTCATACACCTTGTCAGTAGTACACGTCACGCTACCATTGTAATTGCCACTTGTTTCCAAAGAAAATTGTAGGCATTTTTATTCACGTCAAAAGCCAATTGACACTCATGATTCATTACAAAAAAAGGGATGTGTATTATTTCAGACGCTTTGATGTCTTCTGTGCCCATCTGTTTTCCCTCCATAATTCTACCTCTGATTACATCATGTGAAAGACGAACAGTCAAACACACAACAATCATTTCAATGTCCCTACTATATTCTTGGCGCATAAACAAAAGTCTCTTTGCCACTTTGGTTTATCAAACTTAGTGTTTTAGTCATTAGTGTAGGCTGGGTTGAACAGTCAGTGGTACAGCTATGTGTGTGTGCCTCATCATCCCACACTGTAGTGCTGCTTTTACGGGTTATTTTCTAACCACGTGGGATGTGTTGGCGTCTCAACTTCTCATCAGGCGAATAATAAGGGAGGCTATTAAATCACAAGTGTCAGAATTATTCAGCGATTTTAACAAGAGTTGGAAATAATAAGCCATTCAATTCAGGCCAATCCACTGGCAAAAGTGATGGATGGCGGTTATCTTAAAAAACCAAACACATATGAGCTATTGGTTACAGGATTTCATCATGAGCTGCCATTGGTTAGGGAACCATTGGAAAACCTGCAAGGAGTACTGGACAGCTTTCTGTTTCGTCCTAGTTTGGGACCCTTCATCAGTACTCGCCCACATCAGGAGTTCGAACCCAGGACCTGCTGGTTACAAGACGAGCGAGCTCGTAGACCACTAAGCAACTGAGACCCGATCAAATGGCCCATGAATTCCAACTTCTGCCAATTCACCACTTGGCGCGACCACTAACCAATGTCTTCGGTGAGTATTTGTTCTCACACCCAACCTACTGTACCCTACTGGTCACGAATTCCCACTAGAACCCCAGGTAACTACCCATCTGAAGAGGGAAAGTCGCCAGTG